AGGAGGAGGAGGAGGAGGAGGAGGAGGAGGAGGAGGAGGGAAGGAGGAAGTTGGCGGGCTGTGAGCGCAGCCGTCAGCGTTGTCGTACGCTTCTAGATCGGCCTTTCGTACGGACAAGACCCGGTAAGCAAACTGCTTGTTGACTAGCTCGCAGACCTCCTCGAGTACGTTGTACAAAATCGGAGTTCTTTCGTTGTTGACGTCATTCTCGTTCCAGTCCTCCCCGTCGTCCAAGTCGCCCTGGGATCCACCGTCAATCTCGGCGCACTTCCGTGGACCAAACACTATGTGCCGCACTATCGATCTATACCCTACATCTTCATTCCCGATGTCAATCAACGGCTTGACGGACGAGTAACTGACCACCAGCTTGCTGGTTCTAAACAAGCTGGAATTGGGCACAGGGCGAAGGAGATAACTTCCAGTGGAGCCTGCTTGCAGCGACCTGTCGGTGGGACGATCATCATAGCCATAGTCATAGCCACAGTCATAGCCATGGTGGTCCTCCTGCGCCACCATTGCCTCCCTTCTCCGCCGCCGCCACCATCGCCCGCTCGTCTGCCGCATGCTCCTCCTGCTAATCCCCGCCGCCTTCCGCGTCCGCGCCCAACCTTCTTGACGGTTCTCTGTATTGACCGGCGCCCCGTGCGGACAATCCTCTTCTTCCTCAACCATCAATCGCTTCCCCTCGTTCTCACCGTTGATCTCCCTCCTCCTGCTCCTACGTCCCCTCCTCTGCATCGCCGTCCCATCCGCAAGCTTATCCATATCTTTATCCTTTTCCATGCCAGGCCCTTTGCCGCCATCGCTCATCGCCAGATTCCGACTCCATCGCGACCTCTCCTGTTCCCCTCTCCCATCCCCTCCCTCCCTCTCCTCCTCCTCCTCCTCCTCCTCCTCCGTCCCCTTCCTATCCTGCCGCTGTTCCTCCTCATCCTTACCGCCGCCATCGTCGTTGGCACCCTTGATCTTGTTGACGTCCCCATTGTGCATGTTATCGCCCCCGACTCGCCGAGTTTGATATTCATTCCCTACTGCCACTGGCCAAGCCGTCGCTGTTTCTTCTCCTTCACGGAGATGAAGAATGGGAGAGAAGGCGCTGCGGCTGCAACCCGAAGGCATGTCAGCAGCCATGTCCCCCAGAAAATCCACCATCCCCGGGCTGCCATGTCCGCCGCCAACCATCACAATTATGGCCATTGCCGTCAGGTAGCTCACACAGCAGCAGACGCCGCCCCACCACCACCAGGATCGCCGCCGCCGCCTCCAGGGGCGCTCATGTCCGCTGCAGACAGCAGCTTGAGTCGCATTCCAGCCGGGATACTGGTGGTTGTGACTCGTGTCACGGTCGGAATCCCGACAAACACTCCGAGCTGCAGCGCCTTCCTCGTCAGCAACTACTGCAACGACACCGCGTATCTCGTACCTTCCGCCATAGCCATCACCCGACCCCGACTTGTCGTCGTGCACCCTGTCGGGATCCAGTTTCAACTCATAGTCCGTCTTGAAGTTCTTCGTCCCCATCAACCGCCCCCCTCCTTGGCTGCTCCCGTGACTCTCAAAGGGAGGAAAAAAGAAAAAAGAAAAAAAAAGGGAAAATTCACAATGAATGATTATAATTATTAGTTAATCACTCGATCAATCAATCGATCACTGAATCAAGTAGCGAAAGCTGGCAGGAATCAGCAGCAATCACCGCTTACGCTTCCACACAACCTGACGGTCTATGTGTGTTTTTCAAGTCTCTCTCTACATTGACATGGACATGGACATGGACACGAACTCCAGCAGAACTTGGCACCTGATAGCTAATCATCCAACATAATTTGCTAATCACAAAAAAAACAGAAAATCAAAGCAGCAAAGGAACACATGCCGCACAAGCGTGTCCTCGAGGGAAGATATGGGGGGGCAAAAGTGCCAAAAAAAAAAAAAAAATCAATGGAGGGAAGATTCCGCGGGGGGGGGGGGGGGGGGGGGGGGGGGGGGGGGGGGGGGGACGACCCCGCCGCAGTTCCAGCTGCGCAAACTCTACCGCGCGCGCCAGCGCATTCAGCGCGCATCACGATATCACCGCGGAGGCCGCGCAAAACATGCACCTCAACCTACGAGTGATGACCCTGAGAGCGCTACCGGTAGGCGCAGTCGATTGGAGAGATGATTTGCAGCTCCTCCTCCCTCCTCCACATGCCGGCGTGTCAGAAGGACGTGTGGTATCAACCGAGTGAGTACGGCGGTGGAAGACAACTGCGATATTGCAAGTCGGTATCCGGAGCGCACTGTCCACTGCAGCGGGGAAATTCATCCCAGGGTACCCCGATATCCGCCGCCGCGAACCCGTTATGACCTCCACACACGCCTGAGCGGGGCGCTCCGCCTCTTTTCTTCCCCCCCTCGTCCCCCCCCTACACTTCGCCCTCTCCTCGATCCGTTCACCCCCCCCCCCTTCCCCCAACGTCTGGAAGCAGTACAATCCTGAGAGCATACTTACACTACCGGTAGTACCTTCTTGTTCTTCTTCTTCTTCTCTTAAAAATATATATAATATATATTATATAAATTTAAAATTAAAAAAAGGTAAGCTATATTGTTCTCGCATCTATTTCATCTTTCTTGGTCGTACGCATCTATCTCATCTCCTCTCACTAGACTGAGCTCTGGAGGTAATCGGATTCACAGGGCGTCGCTGCACTACTCTCCACATGCACACAAGACAACAATTATGGCGGCGTATCTTTCCATGTTCTAGGGGCAAATACATTCTTTTTATAAAAAAAAAAAGGGCTGCAGTCTTGAGATATATCCACAGGTGACCGGCCCTGGGTAAATCGATATTGTTATGGAAGTTATTATTGTAGATTATATGTCATGATCATGACTTATTGAGCTTATGTTATAACAGGTATGTTGAGAGTTTTTTTGCCTCTGGAAATATGGAATGTCAACTGATGATTCTGACTGAGAACTCAACCTGAGAGCTCTTTTATTGGATGTGTATTGGGTGTGTCCCGACCGGCCAGCAGGACCTGAGCAGCCACTTCCACTTGGCCCAACGCTCCCGTATTGCAACAGGTTACAGGGCGGCACAACTCACCCCAGAGAGTGGCCGTGGCCACCAATCCTTAGGCCACTGACAGTGACAGCAACGGGAATAAAACCCAGCACCTACCCGGTGCCGCTCAGGCATGAAACCTACTGAGCTAGCCGACGGGATGGGGCAAATGCATTCTCATTATGCACAATTGCCGACTACTCGAGAGAGGCCCATACAGAGGTGGAATTGTGGCCAGATACGTTCAGGAAAGTCGAGGGCAGTCCTGGAGGCGGCACTCACCAAATTCACAGAAAAGAGTGGAGGGCGTATCTTCCGCCAGATCACGGAAAATTGCACCAGCCATAGCTTCTGTCTTTTCCACACTTGGTGAGTAGTGTGGGGCGAGGCGCTATGCCTTCAGCCACGGGAGCTACTTATCCTAATTCCTGATCCGTTTCTTTTTTTTGTTTTTTGTTTTTGTTTTTTTTTTGCAAGGAAAATAAGCAACAGCGAGATGACAATTCCAGTTCACACCATCAAATTGAAAGCCAGATAGTCACACTGTGTCCAGAGAGCAGCATTGCACCAATAATACACCAATGGAAGTTCTTAGCACTGAAAACCAATGTTCATGGAGAGCACACTCTCTCCCCTCAACACAAGAGTCCAGTTCCTTCACACTCACACTTGGTGCTCAGCGCCCAGCCTGCTCCTACACAGCTACTAGAGACTACAAAAAGACAATGCAACAGTTGACATCAGCGGCAGCCCGAAGTACTTGAAGATGTCGCCCATGCAGACCATCGCCAATACAAGGGAAGTGCCCTCACATCATCATCATCATCATCATCCTTCACCTATCCCCTGACTACACCCACACCTGTCCTCTCTTTGACCCGAAGACCACCCCTGCGCTTCACTGTAGTCCAAGCCCACCAGCTATGGTGGCTGGGCTATGGTGCTGCCCTCAGCAGCGCCCTCCTCCTCTGCACGACCGCACGTGCTGCACCTCGCCTCTCAGCGCCAGCCAGCAGCCGCGAGCCTTTACTCCAGCAGCGCTGCCGCTAGCATGCGAGTGCCTGAATGAGGCTGCCTGGCCAGAGCCCTTTCCTTTATGGAAAAGAGTTGGCCACCTCTCGCAGCCTGGCTGGGCTGGCCTGGGCCCAGAAGCTTCCGGAAGGCCCCAGGAGGCTGCCTGGATGCAGCAGCTACTGGGCTGCTGGGCCTCGTTCGGTTGGGTGCCCAACTGTCTCTGTATGAGGCTGCGAATCACGCCCAGGGCCTGCATTCTTTGGAAAGGCCCGGTAGGCCGTGGAAATGTCTTCGGTGCTCGGCCTGTGTTTCTTTCAACCAACTGGCGCGTCGCAACTGCCTGGACCCCAAATATGAAATTGACAGTCGAGGGCCTCTTGCAAATAGCCAGGCCCGCCTTCACTTAGGGCGGGTAAGGCTGCAAACAGGGCCCGATAGGCCTACCGAGGACCCTGATCCTCACATTCCCTCCTCCTTCACTTCGTGAGTCCTCTGAGAAGTCTCTTATTCTGCAGGCATCTTCCCCTTGAGTGCTCTTTCATAGCCTGCGATTACTTGAGGTGCTGTTCTCACGAGTTCTTCTCGTGTGAACCATCGGTCTTCTTTAGGATCCAGATGATGTCTGAAGCTCACACGATACTGCATTCTCGGTTTAGGAGGTCGCCCTCTGCCTGATGGTCGAGGAACAGGCATCACTCGATGCTCGACGATCTGGTCAATGTCCACTTCCCCATCCATGGTTGGGGGCAGCATTGATCTTCGAGAGGGAAACTGCTCTGTAGCAGCGAAAGGTGCCAACTTGGAAGCATCTGAACTCGGCCAAGAGCTAGGTATCTCTCGGAAACTGATGCCACAAGAATGTGAGGATCAGGGTCCTCGGTAGGCCTATCGGGCCCTGTTTGCAGCCTTGCCCTCGATAGGCCTACCGAGGACCCTGATCCTCACTTTTTTTTGGGGGGGGACCATTTCTTCTTGATTAAGCTTCTGATCCGACAGTGTGTAAACTGGACAATTTTGTTCAGAAATGCGGATCCCACAACTTTCCCATGTAGGAGGGTGCTGCCCTTTGTTAGGGGTACTTTTTCGGGTTTTGCGTACGTGGTTCATTTTTGGGGTGGCCCAACGGCGCTACACAAAATGGAAAGCTCGAGGAACCCTACCCTACCGAAAAAGCTGCTGCGAAAATGAGTCGGCCTTTTCGATGTCCGCCCGTGGTCGCGTGGTCCGTTGGTGGAGCACAGGATCGTGCGACGTGTGCGAGGTGCTTTCCCGGTAGTGCGACATTATGGGGCCCGCCGTTGTCCCGTGGTCGCTCAAGGCATTTTGAAGTGCCATGTGCGTGCTTCGACGTTTTCAAATATTTTAAAACGAGGCGCGCATGGTAGCACGTGTACAACAGTCGTTACCTGGCCGTTGGCAAAGTCTACGGAATTGCTTCCATAGCCGGCGTGCGCAAGCAAGGCAGCAGTTTTGCAGGTTTCGTCGTCGTGCGCGACAAGTAGGTATGGAAGAGAACCGCAACCCGAGTCTGTCTGCATCAACCTTGTCGTCCCGCAAGGAATCTGCGAGCGGAGATGTGCCGCCATCGATCTCGGCAGCTGGAGCATGGCCAGGGGGGCGCAGCGCAGCTCCGCGGGTCCCTTCTATGCTCGGTGGTCTCCCCCCCTTGCCCACTTTCAAGGCGCCTCCGCAGTGGGACTGTCGAAATGTGCTCTCACCGCCAAGGTCGGACACGTACACAAGCATTCCTCCGCAACGTGCTGAGGAGTCCTTCTCCTCCCTCATGGGCCAGGCTGCAGGCAGCCAACCGCAATCACCGTTTCAGAGAGGTTTTCCCTCATCGATAGGGTGGGGCATGCCGCATGAGCACGCAGGCGTTCCACGTATCAAGCAGTCGAGGTCCTTCGATGACTCGATTACAGGTGGGAGAGTCCATACGGGCGTGGCGGGCGTAGATGGTAGAGCGGCGATGCAGACTTCCAACATGGAAGTCGGCCTTCGCGGGCAGGTGGAGATGCAAAGAAGGGCCTTTGGCGGGGCAGGTCCCCCCCCCTCTGCCCCATCCCCCAATCAAATGGAATTCGCACCGCAGGCAATGGAAGATGGGGACAGTCGACGGCCCTCCCCCAACGCACGAGGGCAGGACGCGTGGAGTGGTCCTGTGGAGGACATTGCCGGGGCGCAGGCAGCGCAGGGGATGACGACTGCAGGTGTGGGGGAAACAGGGGAAGGCAGTAAGAGCACGGCAACGGCGAGCAATGCCGGTGGGGTTGGAGAGTCTGCCGCAAAAGGAAAGAGTCGGGGCGATAATTGGAGGTTGGATGAAACGCTGGCGCTACTACGATACCTTGCGGAAGAGGATGCTATGCACGTTAACAGACCGAGGAGGCAGCAGATGAAGGGGAAGATGGAGAGGTATGAGTGGGTGGTGTTGAAGATGGTGCAGCAAGGCTTGGCGAAAAGACTGGTGGGGGAGTGCAAGAGAAAGTTCCACGCTCTTGTGGACCACGCGAAGAAAATCAGGGACTTCCATAACCGGTCCTGTGAGCGAATCTACTGGAACATGGACAAACAGGAGAGAAAGCAGGCCAGCTCGCCCCTGCATTATAAGCGGCAATGCTGGGACGCGATCCAGTAGAAGTTGGGGAAGTCTTCCGGGTCTTGCAACCGGGTGGTGAAGTCCGTTGATGTTCTTGGAGGTGCCACCAGCACTGTCACATCAGATGACGAAGGGGGGGGTGGCGAGTGAGGGGAGTGTGCCACGCAGGCGGGCGGAGAGTGACATGTCGGAGGGTTCGAAGTACCAGCGCACCGGGGGAGGAGGGCGATGCAGCAGTTCGGACTCCCCGGCTGCAGGTGGGAGAGATGGAACCATGTCGGACATCGTGACAACTTTGGCGGATTCAAACAAACAAAATGCAAAAATGCTTGAACTTTCGTGACTGCGTTGGAGGGGCTGAACAAGACGATGGAGGATGGCAATACCGCTTTGCTCCAATGCTTCGCCATGCTGACGGGGTCCTTGGCTGGACGTCCTGCGCTCGATTCCAACGACCACGGGGTTGAACGTGGAGCGGACAAGGGCGGGGAAGGTCGACCTCATGAGCAATGAGGCCAGCGCACGGATTTGGACATTGTGATGCGGGTGGTGGAGATGGTCGGATCCCACCACGCCTCCCCTTATTGCGCCTTTCGTCGTTGTTAGTGGGAATGTCGTGGTGGTCAGCGAGTGTGTTGTTTCGATATGATGCGTGAGTTTATCTTTATTTTTTTTTGCCTTTCGTTCGTCGTTCTGTGTGTGCAGGACTCCCTTCGAGACGTCGGCATGGAACCCACGTCTTCCCCTGCAAAAATTCCTCTCGATGAAGTTCCGAAGATGGTTGGAGACTTCGCACTCGTGCACCGTCGAATGATAAAGAACGCGCACGAGCTCGCAAGAAAGAGGGGTCCTATTTGAGTGTGTGCACACGATGGTTGCGAAGCTGCATCGAATGCTCGCTGATGTCGATGACGCGAACTTGAGGGAGGCCGTCGCCGCATCCAAGCTGGCGAATTCCGAGCGCATTGTTGCGGAGCTGCAGGACGAGGTCGACCGACTTCGTGCGCGGGTTCTGATATTGGAGGGGGAGGTCCACAAGGCCCAGGAGGGGGGCCGAACAATGTCGATGTCCATGGACAGTCCATCTTCTCCAAGCGGAGGGACTGTCGCTAGTGTTGTTGTGTCCTTCTGCTAGCAAGGAGCGGTGGCTGCAGTCCGCTCCCATGGCTGCAGGACAACTGGTGGTGCGGGGGTCCATGGTTGGCCATGCTCGAATGCGAGGACTCGAAGATCTCCGGACACCAATCGCTGCGAGATCGACCAGATCGCCGAACGTTTACGTAGGACAGTCGCAGGGGATGCGGACTCGTCCACCGGTGGCATGGCGGGGGGAAAGTGGGAGATGCCATTGTCGTAGTCAGGATCAGCGCCTAGGTCCGCATCGCCTGTTTCAGATTGCAGTCTTCCTATAGTTGCCACTTTTTTGTTTTGGAGGGGGGGGGGGCCTTGGGGGATGTGGAAGAGGAGGAGGGGCGGAAACGCACCGTTTGCTGGGGCAACAACCGGTGTGAAATTGGAATTCATGTAACTGTCAATTTGGGAATGTCCTGGACATTTTTGAAATCTCGTGGAATGTTCGTATGGTCCGCACATCAGGTCAGGAAGTGGTGCAGTCTAGATGGCGAGTGGTGGAGATGGTTGTGGGTCCACCTTGCAAAAGGTGTGCATGGTGGACGTTGGGGACACTCTCGCAGTCCACAACGCAGGTCCAGAGCGCGATAGCATTCAGTGGTGGTCGGTGCGGGTGGTGGAAAGGAATTTCGTGGTTGTGGAGATCGAAGTGATCGCTAACGAGTGGCGGGGGAACCATGTCTGCCTGCAGGCGAGTGTGCATCAAGCGGGTTGGTACTTGACAGGCGCAAACTGGGAATCGGTAAGGGGTCGTGCTCTGTGAAGCCTCGTTTCTATCATGATGGAACGCAAGGCTTGGCAGTACCTGTGTCGCGGGTGGATCGTCTCTTTAGAGGGGGACTACACGGATGTGTTCTTTCGGGAACGGAAGGAGCGATTGATGTCGTATACAAGTCGACGAATGGATAGCTGGCTGCCGAATAAAACATTCGACAGGGTAGAGTAGAGAAGACTGCGCACACTGGACTGTGATTTTCACCATTCCCGATCCAGCTCAAACGGCCGAGAGAAGACGAGGACCGATAACAAACGCAGATGTTGAAGGGCTTGTGTTTGGGGTCATTGATGACCAGGTTCTATTGATTGATTAATTGATTGATTGATTTATTGATGGATTGATTGATCGATTAATTGATTGATTGGTTTATTGATTGGTTGATGCATTAAGTGATTGGTTGATTGCTTGATTGCTTGATTGCTTGGTTGATTGATTGCTTGATTAATTGATTCATCGGCGGGGGAGGGGTCACCCATGAAGGTTTTTTTTTTGTAGCACGTGTCACACATACAATAACAGCAACGACAAAGAGAACACAAAGGACAGAGACCCGAACACGGAATAGCGAATCGCATGGACAATAATTTCTTTTTTAACGAGAATTGGACAAAAGGTGATACAATTCGTAGTTTGCCATGAAATGGTCTGTCTCTCTCTCTCTCTCTCTCTCTCTCTCTCTCTCTCTCTCTCTCTCTCT